GTTTGTCACCTCCCAGCAGCACTGCCAGCTCAGGGAGAGGGGCTGCTTGGAGCCACAGCTGTGCTCTGACACTGAGAGCTGGGGCTGGCTCCAACAACAGCACAGAAATCCAGCAGCAAAGGAATACAGACACAATACAAATGCAGATGCTGGAGACTGTGCAAATTCTGTCTCACAGACAGCACCACATCAATATAAGAACAAAGGTTCTTCAAGCACAGAAATAACTTTCCTTAAGTCATGCAAATGGAATTGAAATATTAGGCATGTGGTTTATTTCATTAATGCATTACAGCTTTTATTTCAAGCTTTGCTGGCTGGTACAATCTCAAAACTGTATCAATTAACAAAGGTGAGGATAGGTTGCAACTCTATTATTAAATTTCAACATAAATGCAAACCCTCCAGTCTGTATTCCTGCACTCTTCTTCCAAGTATTATTGTTCTGAAGGAGCTGGAAAGAAAAACCCTACAATCCTACAGAAAGAGAGATTTGCACTTCAGAAGACCACAAACTATTGGAAAGAGCAACTCATGACCTAACATGGAGACATCTGAGCAACAGATTGGAAATGCAATTATTTCACAATTGAATAGTTTTATTTAAAAACTCCATTTCAAACTGTCTGTAGTTCTGTAACAAACCAGCAATCCACACTGAGAACTGCTAATTTAAGTAGAAGCTCATTTTGGATAGACCAACTACTTCACTGTTTATTTGTCTCTGGAAAAAACCTGAGGCAAACTCATAATCTCCTTTATAGTGCAAACACGATGCTCCAGCAAACATATCCATATATTACATAATATTCTCACTTTTAAAGGAATTTCCTCTGAATATAACTACAGTGATAGAGACCAAATAAGAAATTAACACAGGATTAATATTTTCTGAAGCAAAGCAAATATTTCAGTCCTGACAAAATAAATAAATAAGTTCCTGAAATAAACTGTATTACCAACACCAGTAACATTCCCTTACAGTCTAAGTGCAATGCAGATATTTGTTGTGGGCCTTTGGCTAACGAGCAACAATCCTGAATGTATTAGTCTATGCTAAATTACAATTTAAATACAATTTAACAGCTCTGCTACAAAAAATAGCTATACCTAGGCCACTAGGCCCAATTTCCATGCAGGCCCCACAGATGCAAAGAGGTAATGTGCATCAAATTAATCCATGAAACCATGAGAAACCTGACCAGAGATCCCTTATCAAGCACATCCAACTAAACAGGATTTTGAAACAATCTGAGTGTGATTCGACGTGACCTGCAAAACCAAAGAGGGAGAAATACCCTACAGACACAATAACCAGGTCAGCTGAGCCACACTCAGCTGTGCTCTCTGCAGCTCATCTCAGGGCTTGAGAGAGCTCAAACTTCAAATAAATTAACACAAAAAACTTTCCTATTAGAATATCTACACCTTTAATGAGTTCATTAAATTAGGTGTCTCAGGGATAATTTCTTTAACTCTTCTAATCATAGTAGAAGAGCCTTTATCTGCTGGCCTTGTTCAGAAAATTAAAGGAAATAATGTTGTAAATTTACTTTTTTTTTCTTTCTAAAAGACAATTTTAATAACCTAATCAACATTAAAACTTACCTGGTTTTTACAGTCAACCTTTCATCTACTGTAGTTAGATGTAGTTAAATGTAGAAAATCATATTTGAACTCCAACTTTTTGGTATTTATTTCACCTCTCTCTATCCTCATACAAGTTCTCAATAGAGAACTTTTTTTTTATTATTAGCATATTAGCATTATTCTCTGATAAAAAATAGCATTAACAACTACTACCACTGCCCTACTCATCTTTAGCCAGTCTCAGTGTAAATCCTGATCAACCAAGTACTTTTCTCCTAGCATGCATTACTTGCTCTTATCAGCAATTAGTTTTATCTCCTCTCATATTTCTCAAAGAGAAGAGCAAAGGTCCTTCAAATTCCTCAGTTAGCTTTTTTTATACTCCTGTGAGCAGCCAAGCATCATCTGGTACCTTTGGCACCCAATTATTCCCATTCCTTTCCTTAACATTTACCAAGATAGGAACTAAAGTCCTGATGCCATCCCTCTGTCATGAGAGCTGACTATACAGCTATTTAATCCCTTTATCCCTGTGCAGTTCAGGTTATTACAAATACAGGTAAACCATATCAATTATGTGTCCTCCCTCTGGAGGTTTATCTATCTCTCACAGGATTATTTTTATAGAGATTAATAACCTTTTTATTAAAATGGCTGTATCACCCTCTTCAGCACATTTCTTTTCCCTGAAAGTTAAAAAACCAAAAGAGCCACAAAAAAAAGCAAAGGCCTATATTCAAATAGGCATCTAAAAATCCTGTTGTCTCTTCCTCCAAATGTATCAACAACAAAAAACAGCATTAATCCTCAGAAACATTAAAACACTGCTACAACACTGATTTATGCAATTTGTCTGTTGACAAAATGTAAAACATTTTGTATTCTTTTAAGAAAACAAAACAAACACACATATGTAGCACTAGATGATGAAAATCCTTTAATATTTCTTTTCCACGTGATCAAAAAAAAGTTTAGTTAGAAAGGGAGAACATTTTGGTACTCACGATC